TATGGTGGCTGTGGAATATTAAATAGAAATATACCTATGCGTGGCTTAAAAGTTATTCTCAAGGTTACTTTCACCCGCATAATTCCCTCTCCTTTTTGAAATAGATTGCTGTTCTGACAATATCTTGGGGAGCAATTGAAATGCTATCTACAGAGAACTCCTCTAAACAGATGCAGACAGAATAGAGAATATTGTCAGGTACTTGTGAAAATTGTTTTTTTAATATTACTCATTGTTATTACCATTATACGGTTTTTGTCTCTAAAAGATTAATTTAGTTGAAAGGTAAAGTTAGAAAAAAGATAATTTTCCCATCTGTCTGTTCAATCCTAAGAACCTCTACAGGCAGGGCTGTGTCAGGCTGAAGGCAGGAGGGTGGACTCTGTCTTCCATGTATATTGCAAAGGCCCAAAGTGATAGCCTAACCACAGCAAACAAACATGCCACCTTCATGCTACAATATCTATGTGTCAGTTAAAGAAAAGTAAAAATTGCATGAATTTACACTTACCGAACATACCAGCAATTGCAACGACCAGCATGTGCATAAGCTAATTGGGACGATGGACGCTGCCAGACCCTGTACTGACAAACTCACACGAGAAACAGCTCTGGGATCATCTCAGATGAAGTTTCTTTGGGGATCCCTCCAACTGAACTGCTGATCTCAGAACCCCAAACCATGAAGAGACTATGTCAGCCAGTGGATTCTGAATAGGTTTCAACACGATTGGAATGGCGAGATTGGCAGCAATTCGGACCTGTTGAACTATCAAAACTGCTTGAGCAGGACCCTTGGAGCGTGCCTCAGATCAGGGACCTGGGATGGGTGGGAGGCGGGGTGGGGCTTCTCCCTTTGTTTCTCCCCTGACCCCAGATAAGAGGGGGGAAAAGATGATATTATTGTGGAAACAATGGTATTGCCCACTTTCCTGTAGCCTTGACCCTTTGTGCCCTAATCAACTAAGTAAGATTATTAAAAACGAAATAAACAGAAAAAAGTTTACAAAACTGACACTTACCTGTGCTCAGGTATATATCACAGAAATTGCTCTTTTTGTAGGATTGCTATGCAGAAAAAAAAAGAGAACACATCTATAGGTATATAAAAATAGGATATAGATGTAAACATAAACATAGCTACATTTTTGAGAAGCTCAGCTCAGAACCTGTCCCTTGGAAACCCTGGGTGAGAAGGGTGCCGATTATAGGGTCACTGTCATCCTTTTTGTCACTGTTATCTAGTTCAACTACATGATCCTTTTGGGTGCTAAAAGGCTAGTTATGTAGACTTTTTTCTTTTTATATTTTGGTAGGAGAAACACCCACAGGAGCTAGAACCAGCATGGGAAGAAAGCAAATGGAATATCCTGAAAATTCTCAACATCCCTCCCCACCTCCTGCCAAATCAGGAATACACATTTTCACCTATCTCTGAGTTGAAACTTGACACATTTGTGTCTTCCCAACTGTCTATCCCAGCTGGCACATTGGAACCCTAAGAAGCCTACAGTGTCAGCAGCCTTCACTCCAGCCTGCATTTCCCTCGGCACTGTGTGGGCTCCTCTTGTTTCCTGCTGGAGCATGGCCAATGATTCCGAATCTGCTCCGTTCCTCTCCTCTCCCTTACTTGATGAAAGTTGTGGAGTTTTCTTTGGGACAGACGAGCAGGTACTCAGAGGTGGACCCCCTAATCCCTGGTGCAAACAGTGGCTCTGGAAAGAGGAGATTCGTCTGTGATGGCCAGGTTTGAGCAGGTACATGAATAGCGCAAGACGTAGGGCCGTTATTTACACCCTCGTGGCCTCAGGAGTCCAGAGCCCAGAGCTCATCATTAGTCAAATTGGCCCTGAGGATTTTTTTTTTTTTTGCTTGATATCAGTGGCAGAAGAAGATGATGTCAGTTATCTGACATTATTTCAAATGTTATTTGAAAAAAAAGGTCTTAGACCTTCCCCTAAGAAAAGACGCCTTTGGGATTCTAGGAATCTCAGAATCAAAAAACCCTCAACTTTTTGGAATGAGTTGAGAGGCGAATACTGGGTACAGTGATGAAGATACTGCTTAGTGACCAGAGATGGTCTCCCCAAGAAACTGTTGAATGTATGTGGACAGTAAGATGCTGGACTCTATGCTTAGTATATGTTTGCAAAAGAATCTTGACTTAATTTGAACTGCAATACTGCAACAAGGTGGAGGAATGCACCATGGGGGGAGGGGCTGGGGGAATCCCAGAGCCTATGAAACCGTGTCACATAATGCAACGTAATTAAAAAAAAAATTAAGATACTGCTTAGCAACTGCATCTTGTGTTAGAGTGCCAAGGTCACAGCCGCAGCTCCACATCCCAAGCTCAGCTTCCTGCTAATGCAGACCCTGGAACGCAGCCAGTGATGGCTCAAATGTGTGGGTTCCCATTGGCATGTAGGAGACTCAGTTTTTTTTTAAAGATTTATTTTTATTATTATTATTATTTTTATTGGAAAGGCAGATATACAGAGAGGAGAGACAGAGAGGAAGATCTTCCGTCCGATGATTCACTCCCCAAGTGAGCGCAACGGGCCGATGCTATGCCGATCCAAAGCCAGGAGCCTCTTCTGGGTCTCCCACGCGGGTGCAGGGTCCCAAATCTTTGGGCTGTCCTCGACTGCTTTCCCAGGCCACAGGCAGGGAGCTGGAAGGGAAGCGGGGCTGCCGGGACTAGAACCGGCGCCCATATGGGATCCTGGGCGTGCAAGGCGAGGACCTCAACCACTGCGCCACCACGCCGGGCCCTAGACACAGTTTTAATTCCTGCTCTTTGGCTTCAGCCTGGCCCAGACCCTGACTGTTGCAGACATTTGTGTGGAAAAATCAGTGATATAAGATACGTGTGTGTGTGTGTTTGTGTGTGTGTGTGTGTGTGTGACTGCTGAGCACAAACTTTTTTTCTCTTGTGCTTGGCATCTAAACAATGAGGTGTGCCAACTACTTGCAGAACGGTAGGCAACGGCATACATGATGAGTATCATACGGCAGGTGAAACAGCAGCTTGGGACCACCATCATGGCACCTGGTCAAGTCCCACTCGCTCTGTTTCTGATTCAGTTCCCCGCTAATGCATCTAGGAGGCAGCGGGTGATGGTTTACACATTTGGGTTCCTGCCACCCTTGGAGGAAATCAGGATTCTACCTGTCCCTTGTTCCCACCCCCCCCCCCAAGCTATTGTAGCCATTCAGGGGAGTGCACCAACAGATGGAAAATAGAGATATTCTATAGAGATATTATGATCTATTCATTCATGTTCTCTCTCTCTCTCTCACCCCTCCCAACCAATACTCTAAAACAAAGTAGGCAGCAGAGCATACAATACATTATTTTGTCCATTTATTTATTTATTTTTAAAGATTTATTTATTTTATGGGAAAGGCAGATGTATAGAGAGAAGGAGAGACAGAGAGGAAGATCTTCCGTCCGATAATTCATTCCCCAAGTGAGCGCAACGGCCGGTGCTATGCCGATCTGAAGCCAGGAGCCAGGAATCTCTTCCAATTCAAATCCCTTGTATAAAAACGGACAAAACAGGGCCTGGTGTGATTGTGTCATGGTTAAGGTCCTCGCCTTGCACGCCCGGGATCCCACATGGGTGCCGGTTCTAATCCCGGCAGCCCCGCTTCCCATCCAGCTCCCTGCCTGTGGCCTGGGAAAGCAGTGGAGGACGGCCCAAAGCTTTGGGACCCTGCACCCATGTGAGAGACCCGGAAGAGGCTCCTGGCTTCAGATTGGCATAGTATCGGCTGTTGCGCTCACTTGGGGAGTGAATCATCGGACGGAAGATCTTCCTCTCTGTCTCTCCTCTCTGTATATCCGCCTTTCCAATAAAAAAAAATAATAAAAATAAATCTAAAAAAAAAAAGCCACCTGTTGAAAATGTATACAGTACATGATGCACAAAAACCCGGGCAAGTTATGTTTGTACAGGAAAAGGAGTCATTTGTTTTGCTCTTCTTTCGCGTGCTGCATTTTGTCACATGAGATTTAAATATTCATCATTAATTTAAATATTTATTTATGGGATTTAAATATTTATTCAGAAAGAAAAAAAAAATTGAGAGGTTCCCCCCCCCAGTGCTCACAGCAGCTAAGGCTGGGCCAGGAATAAGAACTCACTCCAGGTCTCCCACATCAGTGTCAGGGACCAACCACCTGCTGCCTTTAAAGGATGCACGTTAGCAGGAAGCCAGCTTCAGAAGAGGAGCTGGGACTCACGCGTAGACCGGAAGAACACGAAATGTCAACATTCCAAGTGGTACCACCTTACGTGGCGAACGTTCTTCACGGAACAGAAGGACTCTAGATTCTGACTTGTGAAAAACATGAGTGAGAGAAGACCAATAGTCCGTAAAACTGGCTATTTCTCGAGCACATTGAAATAATCCAGCACAAGGTCACGCGGTAGCTTTTCACCCACACCATGATGTATGGATCCGTGAAGGAACAGAGGGGAATCCAGGCATGTGCAGGGGAGAGAATGAATGCAGGCAGTGCGTGTCAAAGGACAAAAACCAAGAAGGTCAAAATGTTGCAATAGCGATAATTGGAGAGAGGGGGTTAGTGCAATGCATTACGCTTCTAATGCAGAGAAGGTACGTGACCACAGATAATATATATTGCATAAAAAGAAAACGGGGTGGGAAATTTGAGTAGCAATTTCAAGAGCCCTAACCCAGCAGGCAATCTCACTATGCGTGCTCGTTCTATTGTGGTTCTCTCTCTCTCTCTGCTTGATGTCTGTTTCTATGATGGCCCACTTTCGCAGGGCTATATAATCCTGGAATAACTGTGGCCAGAGAGGTTGGCCAGAAGCAGAAAGCAATGTTGAGAGCAGCCGTTGTGCAAAGGAAAGCCAGGAAGACCCATGGATATCAGTGTATCCTTCGTGTTCTCTGATCTCCAGGCTCTGATTCAGGATTCCTTGTAGTTGCCAAGTTCAATCCCGGAAACAAAGGAGTTACCACAGTCAGAGATGTGAGGCGATTTTGTTGGCAATTCTCTGTAGGGCTCCTTTCATGTCCCTGTTCCTCAGGCTGTAGATGAAGGGGTTCAGCATGGGGGTGACCGTGGTGTACATGAGTGAGGCTACGGCATTCTTCCAGGAGGAGGTGGAGAACGCGGAACTGAGATACACCCCAAAACCTGTTCCATAAAATAAGCAAACCACAGACAGGTGAGAGCCACAGGTGGAGAAGGCTTTGGATTTCCCACCAGGCGATGGGACCCTCAGAATGGAGGAAATGATTTTACTGTAAGAGAAGAGGATTGCTGAGATAGGAATGAAACCAAATATGACACCAATAAGGTATCGGATTGTGTCATGAGTGAGGGTGTCAAGACAAGTGAGGTTGAGAAGCTGAGAGGGATCGCAGAAGAAGTTAGAAATTTCCACTTGCTTGAAGCAGGTAACTGGTAATATCAACAGGTTATGTAACAATGACTCAGAGACGCTGGCCACAAAGGACATTGCAATTAGGCCGACACAGCGGCGGGGGTTCATGATGACCTGGTAATGCAGGGGGTGGCAGATGGCAACAAAGCGGTCATAGGCCATCACTGTCAGGAGCAAATCATCCATGCATCCAAAGAGGAGAAAGAAAGACATCTGAGTCAGGCAGCCGGCGTAGGAGATGGCTGGGCTGTGGGTGAGGATGGCCACAATCATCTTGGGAACCGTGGCGGAGGTGAACCCCACGTCAGCCAAGGACAGGCTGCAGAGGAAGAAGTACATGGGCGTGTGCAGGTGGGAGTCTGTGAGGATGGCCAGGACGATGAGCAGGTTCCCGCTGACAGTGACCAGGTACATGGACAGGAATAGCCAGCCGAGGAAAAAGTGCAATTCTGGATCCTCCGAGAAGCCTATGAGATGGAATTCTGAGACATGGGTGAGATTCTGTGTCTCAACATAGGATATACTTCTGGAAAAAGAAAAGCACGATAAAATGATACCAGAAGGAAGCAGATACGCAGTGCTTGCACTCAGGTGCACCTCAATTTCACAAGCATAAAGGGGGGGAGGTGAGTAACTCAAAAGTTCATAGAATAAATGGAATCAAAAGAATGGATTTTGGACAAAGTCACAGTGCTGCATGAAATGTGTTTCCCCCAAAGTATTTTTGAAGATCTCCCCCTCCCAGTTACACATGGGGACCCCACAACTTCTGACATCTCTCAGCAGTGACAAACTCCATGCTTTTAATGCTCATTCATGATTGCTTTGGTTTTGAACTCGTCCCTTACACATCCGCTTTAGAGACCCCACTGAAAAAATTTTACAAAACATTGGATCTGTCTGGTCCATGCACATGTTTTTTTTGGGGGGGTCAAGAATCCTCTTTCTTATGATTAAAGTATTTAACCTCAAGGAAGCTCAAAGAATCCAGCCTTGAGTTCCAATAGTCAAATGCATAATGAAAATATTTTTTTCATGAGACCCTTTTGTAGGTCATGGATGGCAAGTGTCTGAGACAATGGTAGTTTCAGCAGATAATTCTATGATTGGGGAACACATAGAAAAGGTAGAATTCCATAGAATAATGTCAGCATACGTGGGCAAGTTCCTCCTATGTGAAAGTGGGAACAGTAATTGCTTTTGCTACAGGACTGTTATAAGGATGTTTTCTTATTGATCCACTTTCACTTATTTGAAAGGCAGAGACGGAGATCTTCCACTCACTGCAATACCTTCTCTCCTTCTTCGATGCCCACATGAACTCTAGCTGAGCCAACGGATGCCAGGAGCCAAGAACTCCATCCAGGCCTCCTGTGTGGTGTCGGAAACCTGAGCCCTCGTGCCAGCATCTGCTGCCTTTCAGCCGTGTTATCAGAAAGAGGGGGCAGAAGCAATGGACCCGAGATTAGAATCAGGCACTTCAATAGGGCATGCACGCTTCTCACACTGTGTCCAAACTACCTGTGTCTCTCCATGTTAGTTGAGCATGTGTGTCCCTAACTAGTTTTCTATAAATCTTACCTGTGAAGTCGTTGAAGGCTTTCCGCTTCCCCTGAAACATCTTAGGGCACACTGCTACTTGGTTATATGTCCCTTTGGCAAGTGTTTAACATCAGGTTCTTTTATCCACTTCACATCATGATCTGAGACAGGGCTAGCCTCTAATTCACGCATGGATTGTGACAAGTTATTGGAAAGTGTAGTGCCCTCTCCATATTGGTTTGCAAAATTTGATGGATCTGGGCCCGGCACGGTGGCACAAGTGGTTAAGGTCCTCGCCTTGCACGCCCGGGATCCCATATGGGTGCCGGTTCTATCCCGGCAGCCCCGCTTCCCATCCAGCTCCCTGCCTGTGGCCTGGGAAAGCAGCGGAGGACGGCCCAGAGCAACGGGACCCTGCACCTGCGTGGGAGACCCGGAAGAGGCTCCTGGCTTGGGATCGGCATAGCATCGGCCGTTGCGCTCACTTGGGGAGTGAATCATCGGACGGAGGATCTTCCTCTCTGTCTCTCCTCTCTGTATATCCTCCTTTCCAATAAAAAATAATAAAAAATAAATCTTTAAAAAAATGTGATGGATCTGCACTCTTAGAAATAGTAACCTCTATTTTTTGTTCAATAAAAAAAACCCATCAAATATATCATGAGGTGGACCATCAAATGTTTCTCCCATGTAATAGATGGTAGTCATGCTTCCAAGATAACGCCTTAGGAAATCTCAGCTTGTGAGAGGAATTTTATGACCACTTGGCTCCTGTAGAGGAGGCACTGCTCTGAGAAGGGAATGAAGAAATCAACATTTGAGTCCTGGATCATTCTCCTACGATACACACACACACACACACACACACACACACACACACACACACTGACTTATTTTCTGCCCGGCAGGGTGAGAATAATTGCTTTGTTACACAGGCTTAGCATCAGGGGGATGGAGAGTTTAGATAATGCTCCACATGTTTGCCTTGATTTAACTTGTAATTTTTGTTTGGTTGTTGGTTATTTTTTGAACCTGTCATTGATACTGTCTCAACCCAGATGTTTCGAAGAATGGAACTTGCATTATTTTTAACATATTGTTTACCCAATACTATGTCAATTAATTCCATAATGTTGTATATTGATACTGAGGTTTTGTTGGGGCTTTTAACTGACCGGATCTTTACTCTGTTAGCTCTATCTTCAGACCAGAGAAGGTCTCCCCAAGAGGCCACTGAACTTATCTGGACAATAAGACACTGGACTTTATGCTAGGTATGTGTTTGCAAGGAAGGAATCTCAACTGAACTTGAACTGTGGTTATGCAGCAAGGTGGAGGAATCCACCATGGGGGGAGGGATATGGGAGGGGTGGGGAGAATCCCCAGTGCCTATAAAACTGTATCACATAATACAATGTTAACAACAATAAAAAGAATACTGATGTTATCATTACATAGAACTAGCAAGACAGTTGGATACCATTGTCACCAGACATGGGGGGCTGCATTGCTGTCCGACTCTAAGGCAAAGAGGTCACCCTGCCTCTTTCTCTTGAGTTTCTCTTACATCTGAAAGGGTCCCTGTCGTGATTACACACAACCGCAGCGATATTGTAAGTGCCGCTTATGGAATTCCAGGGTCCATTTGGTCTTCAGCGGACACAAGCACAGGTTGTTCTTTGGGACATTTCTGAAAGGGATGGATCTACTGACAAGAAAGCACCAAGGATGTCCAAATTGCAGTAATTATGGTCAGTCAAGGAACCAGCTAAGGAAGGGTCTATTGGATGCGTAATACATTTCTGCTTTTGATGCTTTAAGGCACACGACCTGGGGTATCAGATATGAGAGACAGCTGATCATTTTTGTAGAAAAACACACAGAACATAGATCTGAGGCCGTGTTTAAACTTCAAAGATTTTTTTTGGGGGGGCATGGGGCAAGCACATTGGTTCAACTGCTTCCAACTGCAGGTATTCCAATTGACATTGGTTCGTGTCCTGGCTGCTCCACTTTCCATCCAGCTCCCTGTTTCTGGCCTGGCAATGCAGTGGGGGATGGCCCAAAGCCTTGAGACCCTGCACCTGTGTGGGAGACCCAGAGGAACCTCCTGGCTCCCGGCTTCAGATCAGCTCTGCTCCAGCCTTTGCTGTCATTTGGGAAGTGAGACAGGATGGAATATCTTTCTCTCTGTCTCTTCTTCTCCCTATATGTTTGTCTTTCCAAGGAAAATGAACAGATCTTAAATAAGACTGCCCAGCATGATGTCTCAGGGGTTGAAACACTTGCCTTGCATGTGGTGGGACCCCATATGGGCACTGATTCATGTTCCAGCTGCCCTACTTCCCATCCAGATCCCTGCCTGTAGAAAAGCAGTAGAGAATGACCCAAAACCTTTGGATTCTGCACCCACAAGAGAGACCTCGAAGAAGCTCCTGGATCCTGTTTTCAGACTGGCTCAGCTCTTTGGATTGGCTCAGATTTATAGAGAGAAGGAGGTGTAAAGAGACAGATCTTCTATCCGCTGGTCACTTGTGGGGAATGAACCAGTGAACAGAAGCTCTTTCCCTCTGTACCTGCTTCTCTCTACGTATCTGCCTATCCAATACAAATAAAGAACTCTTAAGAAAGAGTAGCGAATTTTGCCAGTGGAATCCAGAGAGCCATTTCTTCTAAATGGTAGCTGGGCCATCCATGGTCTCAGCCACATATCAACCATCACCGCGCCCCTACAAACTGTAGAGAAACTCAAGGAAGGAGTGCAATGAGCAGGTGTCTTTCTGGAGGGACTGGAGAATGACATCACTGCTGAGAGCATCAGAGGGCTGGGCGGCTATGCTGCCTGTATCTGGGGTCAGACCACCCAATTCAGATGAAACTTCAGCTCTTTGTCCCTAACAGCGCACAAGAGCCCAGCGATTCTTCACCCACCAGATAAAACTGACAGGTGTTGCACGACTTGGGGGATCGTGCAGATGGTGTGAAACAATCTGATTACAATAGAGTTCAGAGCCTGGATTCAGCAAACCCTCAGTAGAGGTTCAAGATGCTAAGGTGATCACCATTGTCATCACCACCCTTACGATCAGATGGGCGGTGCAGGAGATAATGTAGAGATATAGTTGTTGGTCTTGTGAACTGGATTCCAGGGGTAGTAAGAGTCAACACGAAAGGAAAGCAAAAGTCGAGCTGAGCGACCTGGGACTCCCATGAGGAGCAGAAACACAAGCTCCACAGTCCTCTGAGCCGAGACCCTCTGTACGGATCTTCTCTCACGTGCCTAACCCAAGTATCACTAGCTTTTCCAAACGAAAAAGAGACTTTGCTCCATAGCGTCCCACCCTCCTTCCACTGCCCCCATCAGCACTTACTGGGCTGTGCTGAGTCTCGGCTGAAGCATGACCAAGGGCAATGGCTCCACGTCTCTTTCCTGGTGTGTAGTGGAGAGCGCTTCAGGATCTGTGCTGGATCTGGGAAGGAGACAGACTTGGGTTGGGGGGGTCTCCTGATGTGGATGCTGATAATGGGAAGAACGTTGGTTTGGAGGCTCTGGATTTTCCCTGGCAAAGTAAGGAAAACGTGCTGGCTCATTTTTAGTACCTTGTTAGAAAAATGCACAGAGCTCCTCATTAGCCACTAGGTCCACATCGTCCCATTCCCCAAGGGCTAGACCGTGTTAGTGGAAGAGCAAAAGGAAAAAAGTTAGTGTACCTGCAACCTGTTCACAAAAAAGTTCATTGCCGCTGACCTCCAAGTGGCATGGTATTGCAGAAAAATTCAGACTTCTGTTTCGCAATTTGACAGCCACGTGCATGGCTGCCAATCCGTTATATTAATGAAATCTTAGGAGAATTAGATTTTGTACACCAACAATCTATAAATCCATTTTCTAAGTCTCTCAAGAGAACTTCCTTTCTTCGTGTCCTGAGATCTTGCTTTGATGGCAATTTATTACTTGCTAGTAATTTTGAGAAGTCTTCATTGCGTAATACTTCATTGGCATAACACAAAACTGTTTTGGCCTCAGGTGTTTTAGGTCAAGGAGAGAATAACTCAGAAGACTTGCAAAAAATGTACTTAAAGATAAGTTTCTAATATATACATTTTTTTTTCATGAGCTTCTGAGTTTACACGTGTACACATATTTCCAGTTTGTTTTGTCACATAGTGAATAGCCAGATGGCATGCTATATGTCTGGGCCAGATTTCAGGGCAATGGGTAGGCACACAATCAGGTGTCCAGAAATGGCATGGGCTTAATTGTACTCCTGTGCGCAGTTAAAGGCCCACTCACCAAGACATCATCAATAATATTAACTCTCAAGCTCACGTTGGTTGCAAAAGCCATCTCACAGGGGCAAACAACAATGCCTCAATAGATTACAGAATTCTTAGTGGGATGGTTGAGTGCCCAAGTAAGAAGGGGGTGAGACTGTGCCAAGGTGGTCATAGAGAAATCAGCCATGCCCTTCAAAACAGCTGGAAGCTCTCCCGGGCCCTGCCAAGCAGGGGAGCTATTCTCTTCCCACCTTCGTGTTATTCACACCTACTGCATGGAGCCCAGCCCTCAAGCCCAGGGTGCCTTGACTTGTCCTGCCCAGGCCACACATCAGTGGAAGTTAGAATCTCTGATGGTGAAACCCAGCTCTCAGAAATTTTACATTTGCCTAGGAAGGTTTCATATTAAAGGACTGGTCATTAGGCATCCTCACAGTTAACCAGATGTATACGGATGTGTGTATGGAAAGTGTGTGTGGATAATGGGAAAGATGTGAATTTTAAACAACAAAAAAGCCCATGTCTGGGAGACCTGGATCATCAATAATGAACTTGAGAAAGCACTGTAGCTACTCTATGTGTCAGATGTCTGTGGTTAACACATACAAAGGATCTATGCTTCTTTCTTTTTTTTTTAAGATTTATTTATTTATTTTTTATTGGAAAGGTGAGTATACAGAGAGGAGAGACAGAGAGGAAGATCTTCCGTCCTATGATTCACTCCCCAAGTGAGTGCAACAGTCGATCCGAAGCCAGGAGCCCCTTCCGGGTCTCCCACGCGGGTGCAGGGTCCCAAAGCTTTGGGCCGTCCTCCACTGCTTTCCCGGACCACAGGCAGGGAGCTGGATGGGAAGCGGGGCTGCCGGGATTAGAACCGGTGCCCATATGGGATCCCAGGCGTGCAAGGCGCCTTAACCATTGCGCCATCGTGCCAGGCCCTATGCTTCCTTTCGTGAAGAAAGATCAAAGGAGTCACTACTCAGTTCCAAAACAAAGCAGGTGAAAGCCATGCTTGCGACCCTCACATGTACAATGAGAGGTGAGATCTTCAGAACCAGATGCTTAGTTCTTCTGATTGTTCCAAACTACACTCCGCATAGATCGCTGGCTGAGAAGTCTGCACATGGCTCTCTTGATGTCCCTGTTCCTCAGGCTGTAGATAAAGGGGTTCAGCATGGGGGTGACCACCGTGTACACCACTGAGGCCAGTGCATCCTTTCTAGCAAAAAGTGAGAAAGTTGGACTGAGATACACACCACTGCCTGTTCCATAAAAGCAGCAAACCACTGCGAGGTGAGAGCCACAGGTGGAGAAGGCTTTGCACCTGCCACCTGGAGATGGGACCCTCAGAATGGAGCAAATGACGTTATAGTAAAAATTCCCCGAGATAGGGGAAAAAGCCATATATGATGCCAAAAATATATATGACTCTGTCGTGAGTGAGGGTGTCAGAGCAAGTAAGGTTGAGGATCTTGGAAGGTTCACAGAAGAAATTAGAGATGTCCAATGCACGTAGTGCGTGAAATCAGTGACCACTAAGGAAAAAACAGTGCATTCGGCACCTCTCAATAATTAAAAGAATCCCCAGTGCCTATAAAACTGTATCACATAATACAATGTTAATAACAATAAAAAAATAATTAAAAATAATAAATGAGAACCACTTCCATTTATATATATATATTTATATATATTTATATATGTTTCTTTATAATATATTGTATAATCATCATGTATATTATATAATATATGATCATATATTATATAATTATTATATACTTAGTGCAATATAATATATATATTATAACACACACATATATATATAGAAGTTTCTTTGTATTTATCCTATAGCCTCGGTGAAATATCTGGTATATAACACAGCTGTTAACTTTCAATATTCTTGACACCTTTATTCTGCGTTCTTTTTTTTTTTTTGAAAGATTTATTTATTTTTTTATTACAAAGTCAGATCTACAGAGAGGAGGAGAGACAGAGAGGAAGATCTTCCATCCGATGATTCACTCCCCAAGTGAGCTGCAACAGGCAGTGCTGCACCGATCCGAAGCTGGGAACCAGGAACCTCTCCTGGGTCTCCCACACGCAGGTGCAGGGTCCCCAAGGCTTTGGGCCGTCCTCCACTGCTTTCCCAGGCCACAGGCAGGGAGCTGGATGGGAAGTGGGGCTGCCGGGATTAGAACTGGCGCCCAAACGGGATCCTGATGCAGGTGTTCACAAAGCAGTGGATGTTAGAATGGAACCACTGTATTTCTACAGGAAGTCAAGGTCTGAAGTCACTGGCTCACTCGTTTTCTTCATAGAGTTGTAGGTCCTCAAAGCCCAGGGTTCCTAACTAGCTGGTAGACCAATGCTGTCCCAGTGTCTGAGGACTGGATGATACTCATGGAGAGGATGGAAAGGAGAAAATCAACCCACTGTGTCCCACAGAGCTCATCAGATGGACTTCCTTCTGTGGGGACTGACTATGCAGTGAGAGACCATTGCCCCTTCCTGGTCTCTTAGCCATGAGGGCAGAGCTTCTTCCATCTGGACTGTTAGAAAGACAGTCAGGTCTGGGGCTCCTATTAAGTCGACTCTGGGAGAAGCAGGCACAATGTTTGCTCTCATGGAATCAATTTCGGAATCTTCTATTTTATCTGCATGGAGAAGAGACAAAGACAGAGAGATAAAGGGAATGATCTTATGTCCACTGGCTCACTCCGCAGATGCCCCCAAGAGCCAGTGTGCAGTCAGCCAAAGCTAGGAACACTCGTTTAGGTGGCAGGGACAAACTGTTGAGCCATTATCTGCTTCATCTCAGCTGGAAGTTAGCAAGAGGTGGTAACCGCTTCCAGAGTCAGGCGCTCCAAAGCTAGGCACTCCGACATGGGGCGTCAGCAAGCCAAGGGGCATCGCAAACACTGTGGAAACTGCCTGACCCACGGACTGGTATTTTAAAGACTGAACCCACAGTTTGATCATTTTCACATGTCTTGAGCATGTTACATACTAGGGAGGATTCCCGAGGTTGTCTGCAAACACCCAGTATTTTGCAGGTATCCAAATTTGTCCCAGCATGTTATACAACCCATAAATCCATCCATGCATGAACAAAAGGAGGCTGAGAATATACATAAGAAACATAAAGTCTGAAAAAAAAAGAATCAAAACGTTGGAAATGCGGAATACAAGATGAAAATTGTGACTTTTACTGGAGTATTCAAGCAGACTGTCCAAAAAAAAATAAATCAACTATTTTGGCTTTTCATATAATGATTTTATTTATTAGGTGCCTTTATAACACCTCAGACTAGTTTTAAATTTAAACTTGACAGGTAGTAAAAATGGTCCCCGTTTTACTCCTCAACCCATTTCCTGTGTTGCATCTCATGTTAACATGTTTATTAGAGTTATTGAACATCCAAATTCCTTAATTTTAACCCCAAAAAACCTATTATCCCATCCATGCTCTCGCTCACCAGTAACCAGCGTGGCGTTGCTGTGTTGTTCAATCTGCGGTTCAGGTGGAGGACACCGAGACTAGATGAGACTGCTTTGTGGAGGACCCTGCACATGGCCCTCTTGATGTCCCCATTCCTCAGGCTGTAGATGAAGGGGTTGAGCATGGGGGTGACCACTGCATATGCCACCGAGGCCATTGCATTATTCCTGGTACGTACTGAGAAAGCTGAGGTCAGATACACTCCAAAGCCTGTTCCGTAACATAAGCCAACCACTGTGAGGTGAGAGCCACAGGTGGAGAAGGCTTTATGCCTCCCCTCTGGAGATGGGACCCTCAGAATGGAGGAGACAATTTTATAGTAAGAGCAAAGGATCCCTGAGATAGGTAAGAAACCATATACAAGCCCAACAAAGTATATAAGCATGTCATGTGTGAAGACGTTTGTGCACATGAGGTTGAGAATTTGAGAAGGGTCACAGAAGAAGCTAGAAATTTCCAAAGCTTTGAAGCAGGTAACTTTTAAAACCACCCCATTGTGCAGTAGGGCATCCAAAAGGCTGCCCACAAAGGACATTGCAACTAGGAAGCCACAGCAGTGAGAGTTCATGATGACCTGGTAATGCAGGGGGTGACAGATGGCAACAAATCGGTCATAGGCCATCACTGTCAGAAGTAATTCATCCGTGCACCCAAAGATGATGGAGAAAAACATTTGAGTCAGGCAGCCGGCATAGGAGATGGCTGGGCTGTGGGTGAGGATGGCCACGATCAACTTGGGAACTGTGGTGGAGGTGAGACCCACGTCAACCAAGGACAGGTTGCAGAGGAAGAAGTACATGGGTGTGTGCAGGTGGGAGTCAGAGGTGACAGCCAGGATGATGAGCAGGTTCCCGAGCAGCGTGACCAGGTACATGGAGAGGAACAGTCCCAGGAGGAGGGGCTGCAGGTCTGGATCCTTGGAGAAGCCCATGAGTTGGAATTCTAGGACATGTGTGAGGTTTCGTGTTTCAGTATAACCTGTATTACTTTTTGGAAAGAAAGCAATGTTGGTAAATTAAAATGAATAAACAGTCCGTTGGCACTTGCATGAATGGTCAGTTCACCCAGTCATGGGCTTCTGACAATTATAGGACGAAGGTCCCTGAATGACGGAAGGAAATAGAAAAGAAAAGAACTAGAGAAGTAGAAGTTTTGTTGTTGTTGCTGTTTGGTTGGAAAGGAATTTTGAAATTCATGACTGTTACATGATGTGTATTTTATCCCTAATGTGGTTCCCGTATTTACCTGAGAGAGGCCTCATTTAAATTGTTCATTATTTTTATGATGGTTGTTCAGTGTTCTGCCTCCTTTCTTTTCACGTGTAAGAATATTTCTGCAATACACATGCATGCAATGCAGTTGTTTCAGTTGTAGACTTCGATAGATGTGCCCACTTATTGTGAAGTCATTCACATGTTTTTGTTCCAATGTAGAATATGATCAGCCACGTGCTCTTAAAATTTGCATTCAACCCATGATAACTCACTAAATATGTCATTTGTGCAGGATATTTCTATTTGTCTCCGGCAGACAAGGCACTGCCTGAGAAGGGAGTAAGAATATTGGTATTTTTGTTGAGGTCATTTACCCACTATAGATAGAGCAGGTAAGAGTCACTCCACCTGTCTGTGGCCACATTCTCTACAGGATGTAGAATTTATTATTTTTTAAAAAAGATTTATTTACTTATTGGAAAGTCAGATCTACAGAGAGGAGGAGAGACAGAGAGGAAGATCTTCCATCCATTGATTCACTCCCCAAGTGAGCGCAATGGCCAATGCTATGCCGATCCGAAGCCAGGATCCAGGTACTTTCTCCCAGCATCCCACACAGATGCAGGGTTCCCAAGGCTTTGGGCCGTCCTCCACTGCTTTCCCAGGCCACAAGCAGGGAGCTGGATGGGAAGTGGAGCTGCCGGGACTAGAACCGGCGCCCATATGGGATCCCGGTATATTCAAGGTGAGAACTTTAGACGCTAGGCCACGCCGCTGGGCCGGGATGTAGAATTTATAAAGACAAGTCTAAGACCATTGAAACATCAAGATGAGGTTTAGAATCTACACATTCAGTCATTGTGTGGGTGGGTGTTCATCATTTTGGAAGGGTATGTTGTTGAAGACCATTGTCCAGGGCACTGGGGACTTCAATGAATGCAAGTAAAATGAATCTCACCCAAGACAAAATGCCTATGTGGCCTTCACTTTCTTCTCTTTGTAGGGTTGTCCCTCTCACTGTCTCAGGCTGTGCTATTGGAGCAATCACAATCAATTTTAATGCTGCAGAGGCCTTTAAAGGAAAAGACAGAACCCACGAGTCCTTCACAGACACACATAGATGCTGTTTCCTAGGCGTGCGTGGCACTGCTGAGAGGACCTGCACTGCAGACAGGAAACCACCCAGTGTGGGAACATCCCATCTTATTAAACAAATCTTGGGGTTCAAGGAAGCTTCCCTTCTGCATTTAGCAAAATTAAGGGGCAGGGAGATACAGCATCAATTTCAAGTAAGGCACAGGGTCTAAGACATCAGTCTCCAAACACATAGCATATTCTTATAGGCAGGTATATTATACATAAAGGAATTTTTAAAGAACGTGGTATGCTTGATTCGTGAGCGTACATAAAGCTCTTTAACGCAAATGTTTATTTCTTTCCCATGCTATGTGGAAAGTGTATATCCTGAAACACTTAGGTATGCATTTCAAATGATATTTGCACCAAAAATGAAGAAATGCTTCTTTTGTTCAAGAACAATTATCAATATCCACGCATAAGACAGAAACAAACTATCTTGTGATGCAGATAGGAAGCTGCTACACCAGGCTAGAAGATGTTTCAATTAAAAGACAGAAGACCCAACTGAATGAGCGAATGAATGAATGAATGAATGAATGAATAAATAAACAAATTCATATTTTGAAAAGCATCAAGGAAAGTTCATGATGGGCAGGGAATGCAGTCAGGAGAGCGTGAGAAATCTACGTATGTGAACTTAAATCAGTATTCAAAAATATGCGAAAGCTGTTCAATTTATATCGACTCAAGAATTTTTAAGAAGGGCAACTGCCAATGTCAAACTATTGATAACAGTAACAAAATAACTTGTAACTTGCATTCTGCTCTACGAATAATCTGCCTTGTGATCATTCATTGTCAGTTCCACCCGCTTCCTCTGTCACCCCAGTCTGCACTTACTGGGTTCGGCTGAGTCTGGGCAGAAGCATGGCAAGGGATGATGGCTCCACTGATCCTCTTCTGCCTGCGCTTTGGAGTCTTGGGCGCTACACTTAGCAATGAAGAGGAGACATGCTCAGGCTGTGTCCTCCTGCTGCAGATGCTCACGTGGGCACTGGGCATCCATATGGGGCCATTCTGTGTATATTGCAAAGTCACAGCCTGAAGACATTGTCTCATTAGTGACACTGGGAGGGCCTTGGGAGTTCAATGCCCAGAGCTCCCAATTAGCCAATTGGTCCATGATGCCCCCATCTCTGATGGCTTGCTGATGCTAATCGAAACAAGAGAAAAGTAAATGCAAGTGGAATGTTTCCAAAGAGATTCCCTTCTCTTTCTTGCTGCTGATTTCCACCATGCAGGGTTTCACATCAAAGTCTGGTCCTGGTTTTCATTTTCACACACCATCGTGTGTGAATATTGTCAATACTTCTTAGTGATCAGGATATCCATGGAGAATCCAATTCCGTACATTACAGATCATATGCTATTTAAATTTTTTGTTGGCAGTATTTACAATCTAATGATGGGTTCATATTTTCATTGCCTATTCCTTTTCTTGAGTTGGCAGTTTATGCATTGGGGTTTGTGGAAATTTTACTGGTTAAAATATTATTTATATATGATATCCTTTCTTAAATTATAGTGACGTAATACTGAGATGTTGAATTTATATATATGGATATATACGTGTGTGTAGGGGGTGAGGGGAAGCCATGCAGTTGGGTCAGATGGCATGGGTGTGTGATGAGCACCGCTCTGGGTTAGCAAGGCTATGAGGAGTTTCTGGCTGCGTGGCAGGGCCTGGCAGAATGTCTCTGGTCACCTCATTGCCGCCTCACCCCGTTGTACAGACACTCAATCACCTCTCTGATGTTTTCTAGAATTCTGCTTAGGGTGTTGTTGTATTTCTGCTAATGTGAAGTGATTCCTGTAACCGATCAAATTGATCAATCATGTTATGATAAAAACATCTTTAGTGACATAAGGCAATGACACACAACTAAAAGCATAGAATAGTACAATTAAGCCCACAATGTCTCCAAACATCCTGTTATGTGCCCACCTTTGTCCTGAAGTTTGCCCCAATATAAGTAATGTTTTCCTTAAGAAATGGCTTGATAATATGTTGGAACAGATGGCAATCATGGAGGTACAAGGAGTTTGTTTACCATGCTCCTCGAACTGTTACAGCATATGATATAATGCATTTTAGTTTCTCATCACAGAAAGCAAAAAGTATATGGGGCATCTCCTAAAGGGAGACAAATGTGAACCCTCTCCCCAGCCCCCCGCCGGCAAATGGCTTAAAATCTCAACCTTATACTGGCACTCATATTTAGGGAAAGAAAACAATTTATAAAGATAAAAGGAAATTTCTTGTACAGGCCCTCTGTTTGTAGATTGGCTGAGTTGCCTTGATCCCTTTCACTGCCCTTTAACAAAAGAACAAAAACCAAATCCGCATTAAGAACAAAAACAATTGAATCGGCACTAGGTGAATAGGAAGGTAATTAATGCATGATTTGATGATAAGATTTAGCAAAGCATCTATGTCATATGCTTTTATAAATTCCTTTCATTGATGATCTTTTAACTCTGTACTCTTAATATTTTAAGCAATATTAGTTTGTGTTTAGTAAAAATTGGTTTTGAATATAAGTAAACCACTTGTCAGTATGTAACCGCACGTGCTGCCGACCGTGGAGTTCCTGGCTTCGTCCAGGTCACTGCACGTTTGAATGAGTAATAGCTCACTGAAAATATTTTCTCTAAGGTAGAATAATAATAACGTATTTTAGGATTGATTTTGTAATCATGCTTTTGTAATGAAGTAAAAACGAAATAACTGGATGTTGTGCAAAAGCTTGTGAAGATTTCTGCATAAATAAAGAAGGCAACTTTTCTGAGTTGCCCATTTTGAGCATCATGCCATAGTCGTCCACGTCTTATCTCTTCTTCGTACCGTTTTGCGGATCCACGCATCCTTTGCAAGCTCTTGAGTCAGCCGGGGCAGGTTTCCGGCATGTGTGGGCATGGATACAATCCATTCGTGTATTAGATCGGAAGAATTAGATCAGAAGGGCCTGGTGGCGTGGCCTAGTGGCCAAAGTCCTCGCCTTGAATGTGCTGGGATCCCATATGGGCGCTCTAATCCCGGCAGCTCCACTTCCCATCCAGCTCCCTGCCCCTGCACCCATGTGGGAGACCCGGAAGAAGTTCCTGGATCCCGGCTCCGGATTGGCATAGCATCGGCCGTTGTGCTCACTTGGGGAGTGAATCATCGGAAGGAAGATCTTCCTCTCTGTCTCTCCTCCTCTCTGTAGATCTGACTTTCCAATAAATAAATAAATCTTTAAAAAAATAAAAGAATTAGATCAGAAGAAGTAAATACCCATATAGCAGATAAGGAATACCATAACTATGTCAGATATTCAGTGCAGTGATCAATGGCAAACTCTGGCAGAAGGAGGTGTCAGCCAATATTCTATTAACTTTTCAAATGATTAAGGATTTCACGCTCTAACATTTCATTTTCATATTATTTTTAAACTTGTACAACGAAAATTTTAATAATGCAGTCTTAAAAAAAACCAAGTAATTCTCACATACTCATCACCCCCTATTTCCTCTTCACATCTCATATTAATATCTGTCACAATTAATGAGCCACACTCGGCTTCCCCTTTCTTTGATACAAACCTATTTTATCTCGTCTAGC